AACTAACTAACTAACTAACTAACTAACTAACTAACTAACTAACTAACTAACTAACTAACTAACTAACTAACTAACTAACTAACTAACTAACTAAATAAATAAATAAATAAATACATAAATAAATAAATAAAAATGTGAAGTGGTTGCGCCTTTCATTGTATCCACCAGATGGCGCCATTTCTCCATCATCAGGACTTTACATAGCCCGAGCGCTCTGAAGTTAAATAACAGCACGATGCTATGTCGGTTCAGGGTCACAATGAAGTCTAAAAAAAATTGTTGCAAGAGTTTGTTCAGATTAATTTAAGTGCCTGATATGTTTCGTTCATTTATCATAAATAAATCAATATGTTTAATTTGGAAACATTTTCTGGACCCTACCGAGCGCTTCTATATGACACCCTCCGTCTGTCCTCGACCACCCCTCACCCCTCCTCCTCCTCCTCCTCCTGCTCCTGCTCCTCCTCCTCCTTATACACACACGGGTTTGCTCCCATTCTCCCAGTTCCCTTAGTGCGCCCGGTCTGCTGGTCGGAGGTAAGACAAGAAGCGCGTCCTGGGCACCGGAGACCCCCCACAGACAATCCCAGCCGCTGCGTTCAGGGGTTCTGATAAACGAAAGAATGGGACCAAGTGGGACCTCGGATCAGAACTGAGTCTGGTCGGAACACAGAGAGTCCTTCAAGTCTGTCGGAGTCATCGAGTCCTGACACAATGGGCTGCTGCAGCGGACGATGCACGCTCATCTTTATTTGCACTTTACAGCTGGTGAGCTCATCTTGTGCACTTTTTTAAAATAAATTAATTTGTTTTACAAGTTCCACCTGAGTGAGAACATCTTTGATGCGATGTTAAAGTTAACACAATAAACGTGGATCACATGCTGCAGAAATGATGGAGTAAGTTTTCATGATTGTCAAACACGCTGATCCTCTCTGGGATGAGATGCTGGATGAAAGTGCACGTGCACTTTTAGACACTATCTCCTCTGAATGTCGCGATGAAAGTCCCTCAAAAAGTTCAGACTCTCATTTTGAAGCTTCAGGGAGGAACTCTGTCTCTTTTCAATATAAAGCTCCTCAGGTTTCCCTAAAACATCTCAGATCTTAAAGTTTAAGGAATATTTGCTAAGGGTCATTTTTTGGGCCCATCTTGGAGTGTTGCAGGTTCTGATGGTGTGTGACATTTACAGATTGTAACTGGTTCAGTCTCCAGTGATGCTGTGATGAGTTTCAGGCCAGCTCGCCTTTAATTGGCACCACCCCTCAGCAGAACCGACTTGACAGACTGTGACAACGTTATTTATGATGGTGTTCAAGCTGAACTTGCCATTAGCCCCCAAAGTAAATGTCACTTTTAACAGCCAAGGGAGAAATAAAAAGGAAAGTTCTGATAGATTATTTAACTCACAATGGAACTTAATAACAATCTGAATAGGATAATTAAAGGAATGGATAGTTGTCATGAGTATTTGTGTTGGGACTTTGTGTTCAAGTTATTAAATTACTTAAAGTCAACATTTTTACAGGCTCTCAGAAATATTCTTTTTGCTCAGCTTCACATTGAACAACGAGGCAGATACCCAACTGAAATTAGAGGAAAATGCTTATTCTAATCCCCACCAAGCACTTGTTATTTACTAAACCTTGGGAATAATTTGCAAAGTAAACCATTACTGCTTATTGTCTGAACACAAAATGTAAGTATTTTATAAATTATAATCACTATTAACAACGCCATATTATTTCAGAAGTTAAGCAGCTTACAAACAACTCATTTTCTCTGTTTTGATCACTCACACTTGTTTGTTTAAGCTCATGTTTTTGGTTTGGCTTTAATTATTAATTTACATTAATTCATATTAACATCTGTTTACTTGAACTCATCGGCCTTCTTATTCATGAGCCAACAAAAAATGTTAAATCATGTCATCTGGACCAGTTTCTTTGAGGGAGAAATGTTTCGTCTTCCATTTGGAAGACTTCCATGTGTCTGCCAACCAGATCTTTTTTTTTTTTTTTTTTTTTTAATCCATGAGCCGTGTTGATATAAGCTGTTTCTGCTTTCAAAAATCACAAAATTTCCAGGTTTTATTGGCGTTGTCATCACAAAAACTTCTAAATCAGAAATATTTTTATTTATAATGTGCCATATTCAAATATACAAAGAAAGAGCACCACAGATACCATCTTTACTTTGAGAATCCTGATGGAGAAGTACAGAGAATGTCAGAAAGAACTCCATTGTGTCTTTGTGGATTTAGAAAAAGCATATGACAGAGTGCCGAGGGAGGAGGTATTGCATGAGGAAATCTGGAGTGGCAGAGAAGTATGTTAGACTGGTACAGGACATGTATGAGGACATCAGGACAGTGGTGAGATGTGCTGTAGGAATGACAGATAGCTTCAAGGTGGAGGTGGGAGTGCATCAAGGATCGGTTCTGAGTCCCTTCTTGTTTACTCTGGTGGTGGACCGACTAACAGACGAGGTCAAGCAGGAATCCCCATGGATTATGATGTATGCAGATGACATTGTGATCTATGGTGAGAACAGGGAACAGGTGGAAGAGAACTTGGAGAGGTGGAGGTATGTACTTGAAAGAAGAGGAATGAAAGTCAGCCGTAGTAAGACAGAGGACATGTGTGTGAATGAGAGGGAGGCCGGTGGAACAGTGAGGCTACAAGGAGCAGAGGTCACAAAGGTGCAGGACTTCAAGTACTTGGGGTCCACTGTCCAGGAAAATGGGGAGTGTGGTAAAGAGGTAAAGAAGAGAGCCCAGGCAGGATGGAGTGGATAGAGTAAAGTTTCAGGAGTGATTGTGACAAAAGGGTGTCAGCAAAGGTCAAAGGAAAAGTTTACAAGACAGTGGTGAGACCAGTTATGTTGTACGGTCTGGAGACAGAGACATGGACAAAAAGACAGGAGACAGAACTGGAAGTGGCTGAACTGAAGATGTTGAGGTTCTCCTTAGGAGTGACAAGGATGGATAAGATTAAGAATGAGATCATCAGAGGTACAGCACAGGTTCAACAACTGGGAGATAAAGTTAGAGAGACCAGACTGAGATGGTTTGGACATGTCCAGAGGAGGGACAGTGGGTATACTGGTAGAAGGATGTTAGAAATGCAGCTGCCTGGAAAAAGACAAAGAGGAGATATGATGCAGTTAGAGAGGACATGGAGGTAGTTGGAGTGAGGACAGAGGATGCAGAGGACAGAGTGAGGTGGATGACTCACTGTGGACCCCTGAAGAGGGAAAAGTCAGAAGAAGAATAAAAAGAAGAAGTTATTTAAGTCAAATGAAGAATCTGCAGTACAGCAGAGGTTAGTTCGATGTTCAGCAGCTTGTTATACAGAACTTCAGCAGAAATGTTAACACCTTTAAATGAGAGTTAATTTTGGTCAAATCTTGAAAATGGCATTTTGTTCTATCCATTTAAGTGTTGCGTGGGGATGACCATCAGCTACGACACACCAAACATTAGTTCAGTAGCTGTAAAAAGCTGTGTGGAAGCCACTTGTGTGTCTTCGAAGGCTGAATAGCTGCGACAGCCATCTTGACTCGTTTTCTTCAAAAGTTAATCAGTAGTAGATGTACATGTGCGTCATGAAAATCTAACCAGTTCATGAGATAATTTTTATTAGACAGACAAATGAACCGAAACACACCGAGGCAGTTACGTCATCACTCGCCTTTTATGACGACAGGCAGTAATAATAAAATGAAAAAGGATGAAAATCAAAAAATCTCATTTAGCTCGGGGAACTTACCTAAACATCCAAAAACTAACACTTTAAAGCTGTCGTTTGCAGGGTTTGATGATCTGAAATTAACTTTCATGAAATTGTAGAGTTATTTGGTGCATTCTGCAAATACAAACAGAAGGTTAGCACATGTCTGTTTGAGGCCACTGTTGTGCACCGCAGGAATCATCTCATTTTCTGGTGTAACATGAAAACACTTACAAATCCAGAGGGCAGTGAACTCACCTTTGGCCACACACCTGTTCTTCCTTTTCCGGCTTCAGCTCTTTTTGCCTCATTAAACAGAAAGAGGTCAAGCATTTGTTACAAGGTTTATAAAACTGTCAGGTGGTTGCCTAAAAACGTCCCTGAAGACTTCGGCGAACGGCTTCATTTTCCCTCGCCGCTCCTTCTCCGTGACCTTACACTTCCTGTCGGGAGGAGCACATGCTGTCAGGCGCACACGCACCTCCACGCAGATGAGTTTAGCCTGCAGAGAGGGGCTACATTAAACTCTTTCTGACCTTTTGAAGGGTCGTTGAGTTGTGTTCAAATGAGTGAAACGTGAGTGTAGAGCAGGACCAGGGCCCACACTGACTTAAAACCGGGAGCCAGGTTATTCCCAGTCCGTTCAGGGTAAAACTACCATTAACAAAACAACATACTTGCCTCATCAGATGTAAAAATAGCTCTGGTGCACCTCTGTTCGTGCTAATTATCCAGACAGAGTGCTTTGATCAAGCCTCTTTCGGCCCATACCCTAATTGAATTGTGGTGCGCTCCACTCCTCAACAGGCCGAGCGCTGGGACTCATCTCTCTGGGACAGAAGGCAACAGATAATGAGCCCGTATTGATCGAGATGCCTCATTTCCCTCTTCCCTTTGCAGCCTCTTGCAGACAGTAGACCTGCACGGTTGTCAGAAGAACCCCAATCAGCCCCAGAGAGTAACAAGTGCTAGTGCTAGCTTGAACCCTGTCTGTGTAATGATTTGTTTGTGCTCTGAGACACAGGCATGCTCATATTTTAGTTTGTCTCAACGGGCTGATCGTTGGAGGTGCTGACCCGGAGCTGACCTACAATAGAAGAGTTCTCATTGGTCAAACGAGGGACTGTTGACCACGACAACGTTTTCCTGAATGGTTCTGATCATGACAGAAGCTGAGAGAGACAGAGGGCTTCTTTCATAGTTATGGTGGATTTTTGGGAAAGAGCAGATACAAACATGCAGGAACCCACAAACACATTAAGAAATGTTCATAAACTCAGAGCTGAACTCTGAAATTCACTGTCTTAACTGTCCTTGTTGCAGCAATAAACAAAATATTTGTTAATAAAAGCCTTCTTGTTTTAGGTCATGCCCACAGTAACATCCTCACGTTGTGCACTGAGAGTCAGGTTAGTCAAGTAAAATGATTAGAGCTTTAGTGTGAGTGGACAAAGTGCAGCTTTGTGAGCTTCTGAAAATATGTAAGAAGGAACTGAAAGTATTTTATTGAATACTGGTGAAGAGAAAAAAACAGTAACAACTTACAAGTGAGAAGCAAACCTGAACTTTCAATGCAGTAAGAAATCACAAAAAAAGTTAAATCATGTCATCTGGACTGTTTCTTTTTTGAAGAAAACGTTTCATCCAAAGGACTTCATCAGTCTGAGGCCTGCCAACAGGATCCGTCCGTTGTATTAAGTAGCACCTTATTGACGTGTTTCAAACCAGTCTGCTGTGGAGTTCCCAGGCAGCTTTACACATGTGTAATGGAGGACCATCAGTGTAAAACAACCCATCATTAGTGCATAACAACCAAATGTTAAAGGCAAAATGGTTTACTACTCACCAAATCAGTTGAGGACAACCAGGCCAAAATGGTTAAAAACAAAAAGAGTAAGTAGGCTCAGTCATCCAGGTAAATACATCACAAAGAAGTTAAATCGTGTCATATGGACAGTTTCTTTTTGGGAACAAAATGTTTGCTAATGTCCAATGTCATGAAAAAAACACAGACAAAGGCAGTCGTGCCATTTCCTG